CATACATACATACATACATACATACATACATACATACATACATACATACATACATACATACATACATACATACATACATACATACATACATTCAGTGGCCAACGCAGTCCCAACAGAATGTATCTAAGAAACACGTTTGTGCGCGGTTGTGAACATGCATGTATATTCAATGTTTCTCCATTGGAATGTTTAATAGTGACTGTGGAGACCCACAGACCTGACCTCCAAGGCCCGAGGCAGAYACAAGAGAGACCAGAGCCAAAGCCAAAGGGAGCCAAAGCGTGGAGCCCCCAGGGGCACCGGCACAGGAACAACCGTTTACCCACCCCCCAGAGTGGACCACAGGAGAGAACTGGGAGATCCCACCCCAGTGACCCCATGCAGTAATCCCCCAGGCCCAGCAGCAATGAGCCCACAGGCCCCGCTGGGACCCGCTACACTGGAGCAGACCTGGCCATGGACACAGAGGCCCGGATGCCCAGGGAGCACCAACCCCCCAAGCCAAGGCCTGACCGGCCAGAAGACCCAAGCCCCACCAGAGAGTCACCAGGTCGAGCCTGCACATACCTGAGCACCCAGCTCCAGACACTGAGAGCCACCAGCGCACCAGTGGACAGAGGCACAACCCACCAGAGGGCAGTGTAACAGAGGGGCGGGGCCTCACCACCAGAAGTAGGCACCGAGATGAACCAAAAGAGGGGACTGCCCCAGTCCCAGCCTGACAAATATCCAGGCACACACAGACATAATCACACATTCCCACCCTCATCCTCACACCCACTCATTCAAAGACACATGAGATAGATGCCGTATTCCACTTGCACTCCCCATACACACTCTATACTGCAGGTCCAGGACATGCACCCACCCCCTGTGGGGGGCAGCCCACATCCGAACCCAGGAGGTAGACCAATTCATTCTAGGGTGGAGAGGAGTAGACAGCCAAAGCTCAACCTGGGCTGCACCAGGCCGACCAGCCAGCCCCACTGCCGAAGTGAAGCCACGCCACTGACGACCCATACACCAACAGCCAAGCGCACACCCCCAGCTGACCACTCACTGGACTCCAGCGGCAACTCCGGCCAGAGGGCCAACCATGGCAACCAGGAGCCATGATCTGRGAATCCAAACAGCTCCAGGGGAGCCGGAATTCAATTCAATTCAATTCAGTTTATTTATATAGCGCCAAGTCACAACATACGTTGTCTCAGGGCACTGTACATAAAAAGAACAATCTGAGGAAAAAAAGATGCAATATTACCAAAAATTGTAAAATTTTGAGAAAAAAGCTGTTTAAATGACGAAAAAAGTTTTAATAAAATATAAATAATTTGATGCTGATGCGTTAAAAGATGAAGTAAATCTTTAAATGTAAATTCAGCACCAAAGTATAACTTCACAAGATGCTCATAATTCCTCACTTTAAAGCAGTGGTAAGACTGATTTTTTTGTGTAGGAGTTCTCATGGTATTCTGACTTTAT